AAGCTTAGCTATTGTAAACAGTGCTGCTATAAACATAGGGGTGCAGGTGCTCTTTGGAATTGATGTTTCTGTGTCCTTTGAGTAAATACCTAGGAGTGGAATTGCTGGATCATATGGAAGCTCTATGTTTAGTAGGTCCAGAAATCTCCACAAAGAAGCCAATGTTTAGTGATGAAATGGAAAGACTAGGTAGAATTGAATAACTATAAGCCAGGTCTTTGGATACAAATTGCAAACTAATGTTGCCACTGTTTCTTATTTTTTTTTTTTAAAGAACTCTAAAATAGCTTGCAATTTTACAGGCCCACATTAAGATGCAGGTAATATCCCAAATAAATAATGTAATGCTACACTTAAAAAAATCTTAAAAGGAGAAACAAACAAGACCTAAAATTAGTAGAAGGAAAAAGAAGGATGTAAAAATGAAGAGTAATAAACAAAACACAGATCAAAAACTTTACAAAAGATCAGTGAGACTAAGAGTTGGTTTTTTGAGATGATAAACGAAATAAACCACTAGCTAGGCTAACAAATAAGAGAAAAAAATGATAGAATCACAAATGAGAGAAGAAATTACTACTGCTAGCACAGTTGTAGAAAGATCATAAGACATTAATATGAACCATTATACACCAATAAATTTGATCATCTTGAAGAAATTAACAAATGTTGACATCAATTTAGTTTAGCAAGACTAAACTAGAAAGAAAAAGGACTTGAACAAACTGATCACAAGTTCAGAAATTAAACAATGAAAAATCATCTCATGAACAAAAGACCAGGATCAAACAGCTTTACAAGTGAATTTTCTCAAATTTTCAAGATGAATGTTTTTTTAAATAAATAAAATCTTTTTTTAAAAAAAGATCTAGCTTATGAAAATGTCTCAGACACAGCTGAACAAAATGTAACATTTTGTTACATTTAACATTCATCTTGCTCAAGTTGTTTTTAGTAATACATGAAGAGTTAATGCTCCCTAATGCATTTTACCATGTCAACATCACCTTAATGGTGAAACCAGATAGACAACACAAGAAAAGAAAATTTTGGAACAATATTCCTGATGAGTATTGACATAAATATCTTCAACAAAATCCTTGCAAATCAGCTTTAAAAATATATATCATAAGACCCACACATGATGATCAAGTGGTATTTATTCTAAGGATGCAAGTGTGTTTTAATATATGTAAATAAATTAATGTAATACAGCATATCAACAAAGTTAAAGATAAATTCATACATCAATAAATATAAAGGGAGCATTTGACAAGCTCCATCATCCATTTATGATAAACCAGTAAAAGAATGTTGGAATAGAAAGAGCCTACTTAAGTAAAATAAAGGACATATGGACCAAGTCTACATAATATTTAATGAATCTGTATATTACTTTGAGTAAGATGGCCAATTTAGCAATGTTAATTCTTCCAAACCATGCCTATGGAATGTTATTCCATTTCTTTGTGTCTTCTTACATTTCTTTTTAAAATGTATTATAGATTCCATTGAATACCTCTCTTATTCCCTTGGTTAAACTTATTCCTAAATATTTTTTTGATGAAATTGTAAGTGGGATTGTTTCTTGACATCTTACACTTGTAGCTTGTTTCAAGCATTTAGCTACATAGCTGATTATGATAGCCTCCCACTTTACTATATTAACTTATTGTTTATAATAGCATCAAGTGGAATTGTTCAGTTTTCTCTGTGTATTATCATGCCATCTGCAATAGTGATAGTTTACTTCTTTTCCAATTTGGATTCCTTTTAAATCTTTCTTTTGCTTAGTTGTCCTAGCTAGAACTTCCAATAGAACATCTCATACTAGGTCAAACAACAGTGGTGAGTGTGGACATCCTTGTCTTGGGCCTGTTCTTAGAGGAAAAACTTCCATTTTTTACTGTTGAATATGATGTTAGCTGTGAATTTGTTAATTATGCCCTTTATTATGGTCAGATTTATTCCTTCTATCCCATTTTTCATGAATTTATATCATAAAATGGTTCTTGAATCTTATCAAAGCTTTCTCTGCATTTTTGATATAATCATTTGATTTTTATCTTCCCTTTTGTTACTGTGGTATATTATGTTAATTGATTTGCATATATCAAACCATCTTTGTTTCCCTGGAATAAATCCCACTTGATATAATGTATGATTCATTCGATGTGTTGTTGATTTTTGGTTTGCTAAGATTTTATTGAGCATATTTGCATCTATGCTCATCAGGAATATTGGTCTATTGGTCTGTAGTTTTCTGTTTTTGTTATGTCCTTGTCCTTTTTTTTTTTTTTTTTTTTTGCTATCAGGGTAATGTTGGCCTCATAAAATGCATTTGCAAGCATTCTCCCTTCTGCAGCTTTTGGGATAATTTGAGAGGGACATACATGATTTTATTGTTGAAGATTTGGTAGAACTCACAAGTGAAACCATTAGGTTCTGGGATTTTGTTTTATTGGAAGACCTTCGATTAGCTTCAATATCCTTGCTTGAAGTTGGTGTGTTCAAGTTTTCTCTTTTCTTTAGATATATTTTGGAAGGTTCTATGATTCTAAGAAATTATTCATTTCTTCTAGGTTATCCAATTTATGGGTATAATGATGTTCATAGTAGTCTCTTATGATCCTTTACATTTCTGAGCTACCTGTTGTTATTTCTCTTTTGTTTCTGATTATATTTATTAGCTTTGTATCCTTTTAATTAGTGGTTCATGAAAAATATTTATATTTTTATCTATTACAAGAACCAGCTCTTGGTTTAATTAGTCTTTTGTATTGTCCAATGGTTTTTCATTTTTTTTTAAATTTCCGCTCGAATTTTTATTATTTCCATTCTTCTACTGAATCTTAGTTTCATTTTCTCTTCTTTTTATTTTGCTGAATATTTAAGGTTATATGGTTTGAGATCTTTCATGTTTCTTGTTGTAGGTCTGGATCACTATGAACTTCATTCCAAATACTCTTTTAGCACAGGTTTTTATAGCTCATACATGTCTTCATTTTCTTTGTGTACAGTTATTTTTAATTTTTTTCTTGCATTTCCTTGTTAGTCTAACAGTTATTCAGTAGCATGTTGTCTTGTATCCACAGTTGAGGATTTTCCAATTTTATCCTTATGATGGATTTCTAGTTTTATACCATTATGATCAGAGAAGATACTTGATATGATAACAAACTTCATGAATTTATTGGCTCATGCTTTGTTACTCAATTTGTGGCCAATCCTTGAGAATGTTCCATATGCACTTGAGAAGAATGTATACTCATTTTTTAAAAAAAATATAGAGTATGCTATAAATGTCTATTAAGCACTTCTGGTCTAATACTTTGTGTTAAGTCTTTGGTTTCCTTGTTTATTTTCTGTCTGGTTGATCTGTCCATCCATGTGTTGTAGTCAATGTCATTTTTATATTTCATAGTTACTTTATATATATTTTGATGTTACTTTGTTTGAATATTTATGTGTATACATATATATGTGTGTGTTATATATCCCTGATATAGGGATCCCTTAATCATTATATGATATTTATCCCTGTCTCCGGTTACCATTGTTACCTGGAAGTCTTTTGTTTAATCTAAGTATGACTGTTTCTTTCTTTTACGGGTTACAATTTGCTTGTAGGATTGCTTTTCAACATTTTTCTTTGAGTCTATGTTAATTTTTACATCTCAGTAAGTAGCCTGACGACTACAGAAATTTAGTTTTACTTTCTGATTGATCCAGTTACTCTGTAAATTTTTATTGGTGAGTTAAGGTCATTGATGCATAGGGAAATTACTAATACATAAATATTTATTGCCATTTTTGTATTTTCTTTTCTGGATATATTTGCGTTTTGTTTCTTTTCTTTATTACTTCTCTTATTCCTTTCCTTTGTACTCTAATAGATAACTATTATGTAACATTTGGGTCCCATTTGTATCTTCTTTGTTCCTTCTAGGTATTTTTCAGCAGTTACCATGAAGTTTATATATAATTGTCTATCTTATTTTTGTTTTTTAAATTATATTTATAGACTTATTTATTTATACGTACAAGAACTGGGGTACAGGCCAGAGGTGTGGGGGTTGAGAGGATTCACCAGAGACAGGGTGAGGAACAGAACAGGTGGACTGACTGAAATACAGTGCTGAGAGGAGCAGCGGGCGAGTCAGGAGAGGTCTGCTGTGCCATGTGGGTAGCTCCCTGGCTGGGGATCGAACTTGTGCTGCAATGGTTGTGGATAGCTTCATAGATTGTGTCTTAACCCCCTGTGCCACCAGGGAGGACCACCTATCTTAATTTTAAAGCCCTTTAATCTTCTGCTCATCCAATATTTCCCAGTTTTATTTTCCTCCCCCATATTTTAGTTTTTAGCATCTTGTTGCTAATAAATGGGGTTTCTTTTCTCTTCATGAAATCCCTTTAGTATTTATTGAAAGGGCAATTTAGAGAAGATGAATTTCTTCAAATGTTGTCTGTAAAGTTTTGTTGGCACTTCTTCAGTTCTGAATGCTAGTCTAGCTGAATAGAGGATTCTTGTTTGGAGGATTTTTCCTTTCAATACTTAGAATATTTCATCCCATTTCCATCTGACCTGTAAGATTTCTGCAGAGAAACCCACTGTTAGTCTTATGGGCGGTCATGTATATGTGATCTTTTGTTTTTCTCTAGTTTTCAGGATTTTTTTTCCTCCACTTTAACAATAATGTGTTTCTTTTATTTTGTTTTGCTTGGAATGCTTTTAGGTTCTTGAATCTGAATTTCTGTTTCCTTCTCCAGTTTTTGGAAGTTTTCAGCTGTTCTTGAAATAGAATTCTGCTCCTTTTTCTTTTTATCTTTCACTGGAATCCCTATATGCAAATATTGTTTCTCAAGATGCTGTCCCATAAGTTTCTGATATTATCTTCAGATTTTAAAATTATTTTTTCTTTTTGTTTGTATTTTGGATGATTTCCACTACTTTATCCTCACTTTGATTTGGACCTCTATCTTATTATTATTATTTTTAGTAGAACCAGACAAGGCTTTATTAGAGACCAAAGCATGACAGAACCGGTGCCAGAAAGAAGTTAACCTGGATCCTCAAAGGAATTAGGAGAAGATGTTTAAAGGGTAAGTTCACAAGTCAGGGAGGAGGAGAAGAGGGTCATGATTTGTTCTGGGCCAGGTAAGGCCCAGGTTTGCTCAGAGGGGTTTCCAGTCCTACTGGACTTCAGCCTCTCAGCCTTCGCCCAGGAAACTGAGATAATTGTTAGTCAGGATCTAAAGACTTGTGTCTTGCATAGTAACTTATGGTCAGGGTGGTGGCCAAATTGTTTGGACAGTCAATGATTTAGTCTACCTGTTCAAACAACAGGGCTTGGGGTAACTCTTATCCTACCAGCTCAGCTTACCATTTCTATCACCTCAGCCTGAATCACTCAGCACAGAGCCCACAGTGGGGTGTGAGGACAGGGCCATTTTGAGAACTGGTCATCTGCAGCAGCATCAGCTCAGTCCAACAGAGTAAGTACTTAGAAACTTTTCTACTGATTGACCAAATGGTTTTTTAATTTTTTTAAAATTTTTTTAAAGGTTAACAAAAGGCTTATTTACAAGGGAAGGGGAATGAGGAAATGTACAACTCAGGGAGAAAAGAGGGAGATAAATTCTTTTTTTTTTTTTTAAAGATTTATTTATTTATGCAAGCACTGGGTACAGTCAGAGGTGTGGGAAGGTGAGAGAATTCACCAGAGCCAGAGCAGAGAGTAGAACAGGCAGAGTGATGAAGTACACTGCTGAGGGGAGCAGCGGGCAGCAGGTCTGTGTGCCATGTGGGGTCCTCACCTGGCAGCAGGGGATCGAACCAGTGCTGCAGATGCTGTGGGCAGCCTCACAACCTAGCGCTTAACCGCTGTGCCACCAGGGAGGCCTGAGAGATAAATTACTAAATGTGTCCTACCCGTTTCACCGACCTGGAATCCCAGATGAACTGCTGAGACCAAGCCTGCCTGGCCAAGAGCATGAGCCAAGCAAGCCTGACCACACTCACATAGCTAGTTTTTATTTACAAACAGAGAAAATGGCTGCTTAACTCCACCCTTAGGTCCTTGCAACTTCCCTTTGGGGATCCTGTGATTTGTAGTTCCTGGTGTCTTGATGCACTTGGGGTAGCATCCACAAAGCCTGTATGGAATTAGCTCAGGACATCCTTTCCCCTAACAATTCCCCCCTTTCACTTTTTGCCACCATTTCCATGGTGTTGAAGATCAATGTATGGATGCTGGGGTACAGTCTCAGATTAAAATTTTTCTCAGGGTTCCCATTGGAAAGCAAACGAGTCTCTCCAGGTATTGTCCATTGTGGAAAGCAAAAGTCCTCCATTCTTGGGAAATAGTTTGTCCAAGCCAAAAAAAAAAAGAAAAAAAAAACAAACATCTGGAGGCATTAGCCAAAACAAAACAGCAAAGATATCAAATCACAGGAAAAATATTAAAATTGATTCAACTTATGCAAAAACATGTTCTCTCAACCTTGACCCCAAATTGTTTCAACAGCGTAGCAAAAGTTTGCAAACCAAATCTACTTTTAAACCATATTACCTATTTTTGCATAAAATCACAGGGCAGAATAACTAAACAGCAATTTTAGCCAGCTTTGTTGGAACACTCCATAAAGGATCAGAGTGAACTCTTGACATCCGTGGACCTGTATCTTATTGTGTCTACTGCTGAGCACCTCTGTTGCATAAATTTTAATTCAAATATTATATTATTTAGCTTTGATTTATATTTGGGTTTTAAAATTCTTCTCTGTCTTTATTGTGGTTCTCATTTTGTTCATCTACTTTTCTCCTAATTTTAATGAGGAATAAAAAAGACTTGTTTTTCAGTCGTCTTCTGACATATTGTTTGGCTTTGTTACATTAGGGTTTTTTTCCCCAGGGAATTGTCTTGATCCATCATTTGGGGTGAATTCCTCTGCATCCTCATTCTATTTGGTCCTCTGCATGTATTTGTATGGATTAACCTAGATATATCTCCCCTAACTCCTTGTATTAGAATTGAAGGGTTGCAGGGTATTGGCATAGGATGTTGACCTTGGATACTGTACTTTCTGTTGTATTTATTGGTTGATGCCTCATCACCAAACAGGATGACTGGAACTCAAGAATCAACATAAGGTGATTTCTTTTCCAAAGAAAAAAACAACAAGGATTGGAGAGGAAGTGAAGAGAAATAAAAATGTCTACACTGTTAACAGGAATGTAGATCAGTGTATACTCCATGGAAAACAATATGGCGATTCCTCAAAAAATTGAAAGTAGAAATTCCATATGATCCAGTTATCCCACTTCTGTGTAGTAACCTGATATATATAAAAACACTAATCAAATATATATTTGTACCCCTATGTTCAAAGCAGCATTATTTACATAGCCAGGAGCCAGCAACAATCTATGTACACATGGACAGACAAATGGATAAAGGTGTGGCAATATACATTGTGGAATACTACTCAACTATTAATAAAAGATGAAATTCTGCCACTTAGAACAATTGCAGAAAGCTTAAGGGTATTATGGTGAAGTTAATGCAATATATAAATATATTGATTTATAATGATGCAAACCTGAAACTTACATAATCTTGTAAAGCAATGTTATTTCAGTTAAAAAAATCAAGACTGTGTTCAGTGTTTGATCGACACTAAAAATTACCAATGTGGTGATTGCTCCCCTTTTATTCTATTACTGTTATATTATTATTATCGTCATTATAATTATCTGTTTCTTTCATTGTCTCTCTCTTGTGCTATTGAAAAATGGAATCCTGTTAATCAAGTAGTCAGTCAGTCTACTTTATCTTTATCCAGTTTTGGTAATTTATATAAAATGTTAGAATATAAATATATACATTATGTAATGAAGCTAATGTAATATAAATATTTGACCTGGACTTATTTCCTCCTAATGTGTTCATCTGGAGAAAACTAATTAAAACTGACTTTGTAAAGAGAAAACTAATTAAAAAGACTTTGCAAAAAGTCTTTTTTGAAAAAAAAAAAGATTGTCTTTGTCACCCTCTGATGAATATATATACATCTAAACATCTGATGCAATTCATCATTTGCAGAAAATAAAATGTCTTAAAACTTACATCTCATACAATACTAGCAATGTAATGTTCTATGAGCTCCTTTTCTCATTCTCTCATAGAACATTACATTGCGAGTATTGTATGAGATGTAGGTTTTAAGATATTTTATCTTCTGCAAATAATGAATTGCTTAGTAAAATGAGATTCTACTTTTGCTTTTATATAAGAATAGTCAACACAATTAATAACATAGGTATAATAAGAACTAATTCTATGAGTGCTGGAAAATACATTTCAATGTTTTAGCTAATAAAGGGATTTTTTAAAAAAGATTTATTTATTTATACAAGAACTGGGGTATAGGCCAGAGGCACAGGATGGTGAGAAAATTTACCAGAGACAGAGTAGGGAGCAGAACAGGCAGATTGACTGAAATACACTGCTGAGGGGAGCAGTGGGAGGGACAGGAGAGGTCTGCCACGCCATGTGGGTATCTCCCTGGCCAGCTGGGAATATAACCACTCTGCAGAGGCTCTGGACAGCTTCACAGTGCTGCGTTCAACCTGCTGCACCACCGGGGAGGCCAAGATAAAGGCATATTAAAACAGATGTCAATGAGGGAACATGTAAGGTCCATTAATAAATCCAAATATATATGCAAACATCAGCTAATAAATGAGGCGATTCAGAGAAGAAAAATGAAATATTTAGTAAATGGCACTTGTATAAATTTGCATATAGAAACACTAGAGCTAGAGCTCTCCTTCGTGCTTTATCAAAGTAGATCTATGATGGAATAAAGAATTAAAATAAGACACATAGAGGAAGAACAACTAAATCAGGGGAGAGTGTATGTTACAGGGCAGGGTGAGGGGCACCCCAGAACCACCAAACCTACTTGCTCGAAATAGTTCTAGTGTGTAAGACCTTTAATGGAAAGGAACTTTAATATAATTAGTGGGCAACGAAGACAAGAAAAAGTATAAAGTTTTATTTTTTTTATTTATTTATTTTTTTTTTAATAAATTTTATTGTTATATTCCCCATACAATTGCAGCCCCCCATTCTGACCCCAATCCCTCCCCTCCCACCCCCGCCCCCTAAAAGTGTCTCTGGTTCATAGTTTTTTGTTGATTTTGATTTTCACTTTCTTATAGTTATTCATTTTCCTGGTCCCTTATTTAAGTTTTCTAGATTCCTGCTATGAGTGAGACCATCCGGTATTTTTCTTTTTCTTTTGGCTTATTTCGCTGAGCATGATCCCTTCAGTGCCATCCATGTTGCTGCAAATTGCATGTGTTTATTTTTTGAATGCTGAGTAATATTCCATGGTATATATGTACCACATCTTCTTGATCCAGTCATCTACTTTTGGGCATTTGGGTTGTTTCCAAAGCTTAGCTATTGTAAACAGTGCTGCTATAAACATAGGGGTGCAGGTGTTCTTTGGAATTGATGTTTCTGTGTCCTTTGGGTAAATACCTAGGAGTGGAATTGCTGGATCATATGGAAGCTCTATGTTTAGTAGGTCCAGAAATCTCCATACAGCTTTCCACAGTGGTTGGACCAGTTTGCACTCCCACCAACAGTGCAGAAGAGTTCCTTTTTCTCCACACCCTCGCCAACATTTGTTGTTGCTAGTTTTTTTAATATGTGCCATTCTCACTGGTGTAAGATGGTATCTCATGGTAGTTTTGATTTGCATTTCCCTGATGACAAGTGATGTTGAACATTTTTTCATATGCCTGTTGGCCATTTGCATTTCCTCTTCAGAGAAGTTTCTTTTAAGCTCTTCTGCCCATTTTTTGACTGGATTATTTTCTTTGTTGTTGTTGAGTCTCATCAGCTCTTTGCAGATTTTTGTGATCAGTCCTTTATCATTAGTGTTGGGTGCAAAAAATGTTCTCCCAGTTGGTGGGGTTTCTCTTTGTTTTTGTTATTGTTCTTTTGCTGTGCAAAAGCTCTTTTAATTTGATGTAGTCCCAGCTGTTTATCTTTGCCTTCACTATCACTGCTTGGGTGATGTGTCTGTAAAGATGTCTTTGATGTGCAAATCACGTAGTGTTTCGCCTATATTTCCTTCTATATATTTTATGGTTTCAGGTCTTATGTCTAGTTCTTTAATCCATTTTGAGTTGATTTTTGTGTATGGTGTGAGGAGGTGGTCAAGCTTCATTCTTTTGCATGTAGCGACCCAGTTTTTCCCAGCACCATTTATTGAACAAACTTTCTTTGCTCCAATGCATATTCTTTGCTCCTTTGTCAAAGATTAGTTGACCATAAATCTGTGGGTTTATTTCTGGATTTTCTATTCGATTCCATTGGTCTGTATGTCTGTTCTTGTTCCAATACCATGCAGTTTTGATGATTATGGCTTTGTAGTATAGTTTGAAGTCTGGGAGTCTGATGCCTCCATTCCCTT